ATCATATGGAAACCCACCATTACAGAAGCTTCTTAAAGTACATACATATGCATTATAACAAGAGATTAAAATGAGTTACTTTGTAACAGGGGGACATTGCCCCTACTAGACACCATAGGCTAATAAAATAAAACCTTGATGACAAGAAAAGACTCCTTCTCTTGAAGCTGTTGAGCAGGGGCCCCACAGACCCTCAAACAATATTAGTCATTACCCCTTCTCTTAGTTACCCACCAGAACTTGGCAGTAAGGCCCTATTGTTGAAGATGTTTTATGCATGAGCTGTAGACAAAGAAAAATAAATCAAACTAGTGTTGACTTCAAAGCCTTGTCTCTACTGGCAAGCATTCATAATGCTGGAAGGTGCTATGCATGCTACCAGAAGAAAAAAGTAATCAACTCTCAACCAGTGAAGCTTCCTTATACAACAGAGTGCAATGCACACAAAAGGCCACAACTGGCCAAGTTTTAAAGAATAAGAGACTGCAGAGTGTGTGTCCCTGGGTAAGACTCCTATATCAAACCTGTCCCACCCACGGCTCAGGGACTCTAGCAGAAGAGTGGGTGAAAAGATTTTAAGAGCCAGGGTTAGTCCACGAACATAGGGAAGCAGAGGCTTTCAGGCCACTGGAAGCCTGCACATGTGATCTTGTAGCAATGGTGGTGTTGAGCACAGGACCCATGCAACTCAATCAGACAAGGGCCCAGAGTGGAGCGAGGGAAATAGGTGGTGGGTTGGCCCTAATCTGGGAACTACTGGAGACTGATTACTACTGAGGGAGAGTGGGCCTTACCCATGATCTCCAGATAGGCTGACTGGACTTCAGTGGATGAATTTGTACCAAAGGACATCTGTGTACAAATTCTTGACTGTATAGAACTTAACATGTTTGGTGGAATACATGAGGTCTGGTAGGGGGTAGGGGAACACGGATGGGGAGAGGCTCTGAGTTTGATTAAGAACTGTTGTATGAAATGTACAAAGTTCGATAAAATTTTTAAAAATGCATTGCATAAAATTCTCAAAGAATAAATAATATTTTTAAAAAGCATGGGATATGACTCTCCTATTACTCCTTGGAAACTGGGATTCTTGGTGTGGAAGAATGTAGAAGCAGCTATAATTTAGAAATACTAAAACCCCTTATTTCTTAAATTGAATTAGAAATATGAAGGTGAACTTGCGAAGACATCAGGAAACAGTTACCATTCCAGTATCAATGAACATTCCCCGCACCCAGGCTGGTCTTATAAAGTATTTCCAAGAAAAAGATAGGATATTTTGGACAAAAGGACAATGAATTTATAATTTAGGGCAGAAAATGTATAAGAAGAACCTGGTGGAATAACTCATGCTAGATATCTAGGAAACTATAAAAAACTAAGGTCTTAGTGGGCTGGAGTGATGGCTCAGTGATTAAGAACATTGGCTGTTCTTACAGAGGACCCAGGTTCAATTCCCAGCACCCATACTATGGCTAACAATAATCTGTAACTCCAGTTCCAGGAGATCTGACACCCTCTTCTGACCTTTGTGGGTACTGCACAACATTGGTGCACTTACATACATACAGGCAATACACTCATACACAAAATAAAATTTAAGGGACTGGAGAGATGGCTCAGCAGTTAAAAACACTGATTGTTCTTGCAGAAGACCCGGGTTTGAATCCTAGCACCCACATGGCAGCTAACAACTGTCCGTAACTCCAGTCCCAGGAGATCCAACAGCCTCTTCTGACCTCCACGGGCATTGCATGACACAGGTGCACTTAGCTACATGAAGGCAATACATGCATACACATAAAATAAAAATAAATAGAATTTTTTAAAGTTTAAAAATAAAATTTAAAAAACACCAAAAGTCATTACTGAGACTGTCCATATACAAGAACTCAGGAAACATGGCATTTGACCACAGAAACTCTCAGTCACTCTTCTCAAGATGAGGGACTAGGAGCTAGCCACATTTTTGAACAGGAATATAGATAGGGAAAGGGTCAGTGATAAATAATGAGGATGGCATACTTCCATCTTCTTGATGAGAGACAAAGCCTTGAAGGCTCACCTTTTTTCCTGCAAACTAATTCAAACCAGTCCAGATAAGCCTGAGGCCAGATGTGGGGACCTCATTATTTGAAGCCATAAACCTATGTCTTCTCTTCTTTGTTTAAGCTGACCAATCAAAAATTAGGGAAGGGAAACCCACTAAAACCCTTAAAAACGTGGGCCCAGGGATGGGTGAGTGGAATTTTGGCTTCAGAGTCCCCTTTCCACGGTGGAGAGCTTTTCGTGAATGCATGCATATATTTGAATCTTCATCTTTCAGTAAAAGTTTGCCTGTTGCTCTCTGCTGGTCTGAGATCGTTCCTGCCTTTAATTCCTTAATTGGCTGGGAAAACAAGCCAGATCCCTGGAGGGGGTTCATGCTGCAACTGTGTGGGTAGCAAGTCTGAGTCGAGAACTCCTCCTATATTTATACTTGAGAATGGTCATGTGACCTTTCTTGGCCAATGGGGCATCAGTCAATGTGACATAAGCATATGCTCAAGGAGCACATCCACACTGGTGTTGAACCTCTTCCAGTACTACCTTCAGAATTCCATCCTGTAATGAAGCTGAGACAGTCTACCAGAAGCCAAGTGGAGAACTCAGGTCCCATCTGACAGCTAGTAGCAACTGGCAGACGTGTAGGTAAAGACATCATGTGGTTCATCTATCTCTACTGTCATCTGACTATACAATTGAACCCAGCCAAGAAGAAAAAATAAATTAATCTACAGAATCATGCAGTATAACTACATTTAGGGTAGTTTTTAATACAGCAATAGACAGCTAGCATCATTGTTCTTGAAAGGCAATAAGAAACCAAACTTGAAAATTAGGTGAATGAAGTTTTAAAAAATATCAAGCATTTTTCCTAGATGAAATGTGCACTGGACAACCAAATAGGAGATTTGTAAAATTATTTCACTTAATAAATGAAAACAAATGGCAGAATGATAACACTGTTTTGATGCTGTATTTCTAGAAATATGATATCAATGACTGTTAAAAACTAAATAAAATAGCAAAGGATAAATATTAAATGACTCATGATAAAAGAACCCAATAGCAGTCTTTTAAAGAAACTTTAATGGCCACTAGCTGGCGCTGAGTGTCCAGTTTGGGGATATGCATATGATAGAACATGTTAAACCGCACTATAAGTATGCAAAACAAAATGCATGGTCCTTCTCCTAAATACCATTACATAGATTACACCTTCAGTATATGACTTTGGGGAGCATAAGTATTCAACTCAGTAGGAATAATTGCCATTTTAAAGTTTCCATCTGATAACTCCATTATCTTGTGATATGGCACCTTCTTGACCACAGCTAAGCCTTGTTGAAGTTTAGGCTCATTCTGGCCTCTGAAGGGTATCAGGAAGTTGGCCCAGGGTATGGGAACACATGTCAGCAGAAACCCAGGTTGTCTTAGGAATGGGTCAGCGTGTGCCAGAGTGTACCTGCTAACTGCAGATTTATGGCTTCTGTAGGTTTTACTGGGCTTGCTTCTGCAAAATAGTAATTGTTGATTAATAGAATAGAAATTGCTCAGGGGGCTTTTCACTTGTCCCTGGTTATGGTTTCCCTGTATAAAAGCTTACCCTAGAGATGGCTTGGGGCTACACTTGGGTTCTGACACTCTTGTCTAGTCACTGGCCAGCTAGTAAAGACTTTCATTAGATTAGACAACACTTTATCTGAGTGGTCTTCTCTGGTGAAGCGTCTCATAACAATCTGGTTCTCCTATAAGTTTGCTTTTCTTGTTCAGTTCTTTGCTTTTTTGTGTGTATGTGTGTGAAATATTACATTATCTTGACAGTGGTAGTTTTACTGGGTGCCAAACATTGTATTTGGAGATTTATAGAATTAATTTGAGGGTCCTGAGTATATGTTCCTACAAAGAAGTCATATATTTGCCTTTGGCAGCCATCTAGACTAAGAGGATTAGCAACCCAGATCACTTCAATGCAACTAAGCTTAAGATTGAAGTGATCTGAAGCTGGGCTTCCATTTCTGTAAAGATTAGTCTTTTCTGGTTTACTCTTACTTCTAGTACCAGGATAGGGACTAGTGGTAAGCAACTGAGGCAACTAGGGCATGACATTTAAAAGAGGCAGTTAGTCTCTCATAGTCGTTTGGCTTCCCAAACAAAAGTCTGGGTGTTTGTGAGGATTATTATCCTTGGAATGCCCTGAATGCTGGCTTCTGTTCCCTCATGACTGTACATCTATCTCAGCTCTGCTCAGTTCTTTGCCATCTTGGCCCCCACCTTGGAAAAAAGAATGATAGCAAGCAATAGATTCAACATATCAAGACTTTTTATTGTCTGGAATTTAGGATCTGCAAATACTCAACTGCTTTTATAACTCATTGATGCTTTCAAACAATTTTTCAGAAGATATTTTAGATATTTTTGTTGCTCAGTGTGATGGTCTGAAATAACCTAGGAGAACTTATGTGCTATTACCCATGGTCATAAATTGATTAACAAGCTGACTGACCAGGGGACACCTTTGTTCTCTAAGCTGATATTTAATCTGTTTAACAAACATTCATTGAATACTTAGTGTATCCCAGGCACTCTCTAAGTATAAAATATATAATAGTATGTTTTAGAAATCATAATATCTTTCCTCAGAGAACTCGAAGACAGAAAAAGGTAAACAAATATATATTAAATTATAAATTAAGAAATTCATTCAGCAAGTATCATGGTGTTGGACTTCTCAGCCTCCAGAATTATGAGTGATAAATGTTTACAGCCTAAGCCACATTGCCTGTGGTGTTTTACAGTGGCATAACACTAACTTTTCAAACAAAATACCTAAGAAATAATCTATAAATGTATGAAATAGCATTACAACAACTATTCCTAGGCCAACAGAAGGTCCATGTCTCAAAGGAGAGGATTTGTAATGATAAAAACAGAAATAAATGTGTGCCTTTTACCTTTCCCGGGGTTGTTCCTGAAGTTTTTCAAGTTTCACAGTAGACGGGTGTTTAGAGCGGTGTCCATCAGTAGTTCCAATAGTAACTTTCAGGTCTGAGGATAAGAATGCTGGATATTCTACTGGCTGTGGTGTAATAACCTTTCTGCAAAATGGTAATAAGTTAAATACTGCTATTACATAAAAGTACCTTTTTAAAATCAGTGGTAACTGTTACTCTTGAATTTTCTTCTGCTTGGACTTTCAGCTCACCTATCACCATCAAGAAGACAGAGCTAATAAAGAAGGCAAGAATCAGAAATCTTGAGAGAAGTGCTCTCTTGATTACTCTTCCTAGTACGATTATGGGCAGTATGAAAAGGGGAAGACCTGAAGAAAGGAGAAGTACAGAGTATTTGAGCCCAGGCGTCTCTCCCACCATGTGTGACCACATCTGCCTCCAGAGTACCTCATCCTTTACATTACATCCTTTACATCCTTTACTTGTGTGCCAGGCACTATGTTCACGTGTCTCTGTATTTTATCTCATTCCACTTTCACAGCAAACCTGCAGGGTGAGGATTATTAAATCCACTTTACATATAAGAAAGCCAGGGGTAAAGAGAGTAAATGATTCCTTTCAAGATCTAACAGCTAAGAAATGTCAAAGCTAAAACTTTACACTTCCATAAACAGTAGTCTGCTACACACAGAGATGAGCACCTTAGGTTCAACATGTCCCAAACAGATTCTCTAAATATGAAAATACAACAGGAGTATCTTGAGTCTTGAGTAGGAGGAAATTCCTCCTTCCTATCTTCAATCTGAAACATTAGCTTTTTTCTCCTTTTACTAAAAATGAAATATCAACTCTCTCTGATTCATGAGACTGTTTGAAATGGGCACTCTGCTGTTGCCTCAATTATGCCATTGGTAGACCTGGGTCACCAGCTTGCTGATTTACTGATTTTGCTGTTCTTTTCATAGTATTCCCATAATTTCCACATAATTCCACAGTTTTATTCCAAAGAATAGCTCCACATAGATATCCAGTAGTCTATAAATGAGAACTACCTCTTCTTCTCATCCCTTTTTTCTGTCTCCTTCCATCTCTAATCAGTCATTTCCTAATTTTAGAAACTATGGATAAACATTCTAAATATTTCACAAATTTGTTCCTGTTCATTAGTCAGGGTTGTCCAAGAAACAGAATCAGTAGGATGTAATACATACATACATACATACATACATACATACATACATACATACATATGGGGGGGAGAGAGAGGGGAGATATACATACATACATACATACATACATAGATACATACATACATACATACATATGGGGGGGAGAGAGAGAGGGAGAGAGGGAGAGAGAGAGAGATGAGAAAATTATTATAAGGAATTGGTTCATGCAATTATGGAGGGTGATAAGAGCTATGATGTGCAGGGTGAATCAGCAAGCTGGTGACCCAGGTCTGCCAATGGCATAATTGAGGCAATAGCACAGTGCCTAATTAAAGTAGACGGGTTCATGAACCAGAGACAGTTGACATTTATTTTTGAGTAAAAGAAAAAAGCTGATGCTTCAGATTGGAGATACTCAGGCAGGAGGAATTTCCTCTTACTCAAGAGAGGGTTGATACTCCTATTATTTAACTGATTTCGTGAGGCTACATTAGGAAGTGCACTCTGCTTTCCTTAGAATACTGAGATAAATGCTAATCTCCAAAACACCTCTCCCAGAATTATTTTGACTAGTGTCTTGGCACTTTGCAGTCAGTTGAACTGACACATAATCATCACAAGTCCACTTCTTGTCAACTTGGCATGCATATTCATTTCCTTTAATCATTCCTAATCTACAAATTAGGACAACCACATGATCACAGCCCCACCTAACATTATAACTACCATTATAACAACCAACCTTAGGAAGAAATAAAGATTTGAGTGATGATTACTCTTTTCCTTCATATCTCAAAATTTAAATACTGTGATGTTATGTGATAAAGGGATAAGAGAGGAAAGAAAACAAAGATATTTACATACACACATGCACACACACCTATTCATGACACACTAAGGAGGAAATACTCCTAGCAATTATAATCCTGTGTCTGCAACTATTCATGTGGTCACAGCCTATACCTTGTGTTTTCATCTTCCACAACCCATTCTGTTCTTCCTTTGCTTTAGCAATCACCTCAGGTGACCATAGCTCTTTACCTGGTGGTGTGATTAAAACTTTCATTCTTAGGCATATGCCTTTAATCCCAGAACTCAGAAGGCAGAAGCAGGCTGCCTCTATGATCTCTGTAAGATCAAGGCCAGCCTGGTCTACACAGCAAGTTCCATGCCATTTGGGGCTACAGGGAGACTGTCTCAAGAAACAAACAAAAAACCTTCCATACTTAAGGATCTTAAATAGTCCTATATAGATTAGGTTGTTCTAGTTTTCTATTGAAATTTTACTCGGGGCTGGCAAGATGACTCAGCAGGTAAAAGTGTTTGCTGCCCAATCTGACAACCTGAGGTCCATCCCCATGACCTACCATGGTGGAAGGAGGGAACCAACTACCATAAGTTGTCCTCTGACTTCCATATGTACACCAATGGCACATGCCCTCACCCCAAATAAATTATTTTAATGTTAAAAACCCTTAATCACAGTTCACAGTGATCTTGAGAGATGTCTTAAAGATCTCCAGTATTCTAGACACACGCTTCCTTTTCTACACTGTGGAGTAGTCATACCCGCTTTCTTTGGTCATATTTATTTTCCTATACTCTTACACAAAAATTTTATTAAAAATCTATATTAGTTGCTATGCCTTTGCTTAGTAGGTCAAATCCACATAGTTTTCAAGGAAAAGCAACCAGTGTGATATCTTGTAGAAGGAAAAGATGGCCAAGATCTCTGGAAACTAAATAATGACCTAGAGTTAGATTACTGATCTCTTGGGTAGGACAGTGAAGATTTATTTCTCCCTTTGTCACCTAAAATCCAACTACTTCCAATGATCTTAATTAAGAAGTACCTGCCAGGGGGAGAAGGATGAGGTTATCAAATCTATAGCACCATACCAGACACCAGAAGAGATGTTCATTTGCTCAGAGAGTAATACTACAATTGGCACAGCAGCTACAATTAGAGTCACAAGTTAAGCTCACAATAATCACTTGCCATTTTCCAATATCTGTCTGTTTTTCCCACAGACTAAACAGACAAACTGAATAGAGATGTAGTGATAATCCTATCCCTGCATTCTTCAAACCCTTGAGGTGGTACTAGTCTCCACAGTTCCTCCAGGAGTGCAGTTATTACTTTGGGCTTACTGTTTTCCTAGGTAAAGAGAGTTACATTGGCTTCTATTTCACTCTATAGAAGTCACTCATTCCAAAAGTTGAGAACCGGTGTTGGGATTCTGCCAGCCAGTGAGTATGTCTGCCAAATATGTGTTCTGGAACTGAGGAAATAACAATAGGATGGGTAGAGAGCTTTAAGGTAACTTATTTAAGTCAGGTCACTAAGTTGGATACTTTTAATTTTAATCCTCTTTATTGTCTGGCCAGAGAGCTCCTGGGATCAGCCTGTCCCCTCACCACCAATGTTGGGGTTACAGACATGCCTGGCTTTGTATGCTGAGGATTTGAACTCAGCTTGCAGAGCAAGTGTTCTTACCCACAGAGCCATCTCCCCATTTCCCCTAAAAATTTTTTTTTAACTACAGATTTTTTTAAACACCCCATTTGGAAGTAACCATTGCAGTGGTATAGAGGTAGGGTAAACTCTGCAACTACTAGACACATTTATCTTAAAAGTCCTTTACCTCTTATCCCAAAAGGAGTGTCTTGATGACTAATTTTCCTCATTAAGTTACCGCTTCACCCATGAAGGAGGCACTCCCTCTCTTCTCTTCTGTAGACCTTCCCACCGCCTTTCCAGGGTGACACTTAAAAATTCAAGATCTCTCCCAACTGTTTTGTTTGTTTTTGTTTCAGACAGTCTCCTGTAGCTCAGGTTCATTCTGTAGCTGAGCATGACCCCCTGAACTACTGAGCCTCCTGCCTCACTCTACCTCCCAAGTGCTGGGATTAGAGGCATGAGTCACTTTCTCCCATCTTATTAAGTGAAACAATTCAATGCTCTGTTTACCTGAAAGTCTAGCCCATCTTTACCATGCTCTCAGGGTTTCTTAAGATAAAAATACACTCCATCATGTTTTTAAAATACCACTTGATTTCCCCATTTAAAATGCCCCCATTTTAAATGTGGAAACCATGGTGGAAGGGTTAGACGATGCAAGAGACAAATAATGCATAGCTAGTTTTAAAAAAAATCAGAGAGGACCATATTAATCAAACAACCTACTGACAAATTATACATACAACTAGCTCAAAGAATATAATGTATCTCTAGGCAAGGTTTATCTGAGAACATTTTGTCTTTGCCCAAGCTTTATTTACATGGCACATGGTAATTAAAAGTACCAGACTGTTGGAACTAACCTCCTTGGATGTTTAACAGACATACTTTGGGGCCTATACTAATTTGGTCAGAGAGACATAAAGGACAGTTTTTGTTCCTTGTCTTCCTAGGTTGACTAAGTTCCAGGGGACTATGAGCATCTCTCAAAATGTCCTGTAACTGGGGATAGAGAGATGGCTCAGTGGTTAAGAACACTGGTTGTTCTTGCAGAAGACTGAGTTCAAATCCCAGCACCCACATAGCAGCTAACAACTGTCTGTAACTCCAGTCCCAAGGGATCCAACAGCCTCTTCTGACCTCAACGGGCATTGCACGACATGGGTGCACTGATCTACATGCAAGCAACACACGTATACACATAAAAAATTTTTAACTGTGGTGTGTGGTGAGTCACCTGTCCTCTTGATCAAGGAGGCCATGGAGACCCCATCAAATGGACTTGAACCAGTGTCCAGTCTACAAAGAGGAGGGTCAACACAGAAGAGACATTTCCTCTATGCTTCCAAGCAAAGCCAGCCATGGTTGAGTAAGACCTTTGACTTATCTTCACATAGGTGGAACTGGTAAAAGAAAGGAGCCAGGGGCTCCTCCCAAGCCCATGTGATCCCTGAGGAACAGATCCTCAAGTGGCCTTAAGAGTAAAAATAAATTGGTTTATCTGCGCCAACTCTATGGTCTTAAACACCAAAAAGGAAAGTATAACCAAAGATTAATGAGGTCAATGTAAGTTTTTAAGAGTCCATGTGTATAGCTAAAGGCTACATAACAAGAAACAATGCCAGACAGGAGATACCTTCCTTTGAGTTGTTGGCCAGGGTGGCCCCAAAGACTCCCAGACAGTAACCCAGGATAGAACTGGGAAATTGAACAGCAGACCCTAATCTTAGCTAAAGGAACATTGACAACTGATTGCTGCTAGATGAGGAAGAGCTGATCTTCCTAAAACAAAGACCTCTAGATAGGCTGACAAGATTCAGCTGATAGTCAAGCACTGGGGAATGGCTGGGGGTGTTGACAACACAGTGGACAGTAACAAGGATGACAAGAGTATATGGGCTCCAGTGGTGGTGGGGGCTATGGGAGGGTGCCACTTGGGAAGTGAGTATATAGATGAATAAGATTGTTTGGGATATTCTGTATGAAATACACATCAAAAAATCAACAAATAAAAAAAAATGAGTTATATTTGAGGAATGTGCTGGGTAGCTTTAGTGTCAACTTGACACACCTGGGTTGAGGGAGCCTCAGTTGGGGAATTGCCTCCATTGAACTGGCCTGTGGTCATGTCTGTGGGGCATCTTCTTAATTGTTGTGTGATGTAGGAGGTCCCAGCCCACTGTGGGTGGTGCCATCCTTGGGCAGGTGGGCCAGTGTTGGATAAGAAAGCAGGCTGAGCAGGGGCCAGGGGAGCAAGCCAGTAAGCAGCATTCCTCCATGGCCTGTGTTCCAGCTCCTGCTTCCAGGTTCCTGCCCTGATGAGCTGTGACCTGGGAGATGTAAGATAAAATAAACCCTTTCCTCCCCAAGTTGGTACTGGTCAGAGTATTTTGTTACAGCATTTGAGAAACACACTAGAACAAAGAAGAAGCATAAAAATTTGCTTCACGTTAATTGGTAGAGGTGAAAACATTAACACTGAAATCTACCTGATGACTTTATATCCATACTCAGGTGCCAAGGATCTCAGTGTAACTGCCTGTGACTAGTAAGAATCAGATACATAGAGATTAGAGATGCATGTGCAATCATCTGTTAGTAGCATTAAAAATGAGTTTTTCTGTATGAAACAGTATATTTTAAAATGAAATGGGGATCTTTTTTAAAGGTTAAAACCTCATTCAATTTTATATCTTATAGGGTTTATACTGAGTTCAATATTGTATAACTGTATTAATTCAACTGTGAACCTGAAAATTTACAGCCACCTTTGAAAAAGACGCATCATTGCTCTGGAAATTCTTGTTGAATATGTTAATGCTGTAATGAAATGCTTCTTCTAATCATGTGGTTATTAAATAAATAATTTAAAAAATACCACTTGATCTTAATATATTAAGGAAACTTCAAACACTTACGTGAGGGGATCTGTTCTTTCTGGAGGAGGTGCAATATTCATAAACATAGATGGTTCAATGAGTTTTTGCAGAGGCTTTAACTGAATAAAAATGTAAGTACATTCAGTTGTGAGTCACGCTAATAGGACTAACCCCCCAGAAGAATGACAGTTGATAAGTATTAAGGGTTTCTCAACATGGGGGTAGACTTATTTAATAAGAGTACTTATGTATGAAACCCTTTAAAATTAAAATTTTAATTACAAACAAACAAAAACAAATGCAATATCACAGGCATCTGTAGTGTCTCCCTATGGGGAGATGGGAGGCAGAGAAAAGGGAATCACTGGAAGATCATAGGCCAGCGAGCCTGGTATAAACAGCAAGTGAGACTCTGTCTCAAACAAAGTAGAAGTGAGGACCTACACTGAAGATTTTCCTCTGACTTCAACATGTGTGCCTGGCACATTGTGCATGCCTGTAATCACAAATGCACACACGCACGCGCACACACATCCCCCAAAAAGTGTTTGTAGTTTATATAACTTAGGATTTTTGTCTTGGATATATTCTTGATAAAACTGTAATATTAGTTCAAAAATTAAAGCACACTTAATGTCTTTTTTCTCAGTTACTAATCCAAAACCACTCAAGTCTATTAAAATAAACAACAAAAAAATTGAAAGACTATATTCAAAGTACAGGGATCATTTATTTCCACTAGCAACAGTGGTAGTGGACCAAGTTTCTAAATGCCCTAAAACTGATAATATCCAGGGAGATGAAGAGTTCTTCAAATATTTGGTGACAGTATATATTGGTATAGTTTCCTAGAATAATTCCTGCTTCAGTCTCCCATATGCTGGGATCATAGGCATGTGCCACCACATCTGTCTCAATGATTCCATTTTTTTCTTAGATGTAAACATTCACACTCCCTTAAATACTTAAAATAAATTTTCTTTTAATTACACAAATGTGTAGGGCATAACACAGAGGAAGTCCTGTAATTAAGACAGGTTCTCTCCTTCTACCATGTGGATTCCCAGGAATGAATTCAGGTCATCAGGCTTAGTGGCAAGCACCTTACCCACAGAGCCATCTTGCCAGCCCTAAAAATACATATTTAAAAAGTTGCCAATCCATAAAAAATAAAGGCTCAGAAGAGAATAATTTGACTGATGGGCTAAAAAATAACTAGAATAAAATTTTAAAAGAAGAGAACTAACCTGATGTGAAAATCCATAACCAAAGTTTCCATAAGAGAACATAAATTCCACCTCCACCCTGCAGATACACTAAACACATGGTAAATTTATTTTATCAATGATCAGAATGATATTGAAGTGATAGCAAGTGATTTTTTATTTTACAAATCTATGTTAGAAAAGTTCAGAATGAATCTTCTGATTTAAAAAAAGCAGCATTTACATAAAGAGCTCCTAAAGAGGACTTCATTCAGTTTCTGAAATGTTATAAGCCTTTCATCTTAAATAATGCTAAATGGTTTAAATATACAAAATATTAACTTAGAATTCTTAGTAGGATTATGCTAAGAAATTGGCATATATGCACACATATTTCAAATTATTTACTCACATGCCTCTCGTGTGCACTCCCAGATCATTTTTGATTTAGACAAACAGTCTCACTTCTCTGAACCCCAGACGCCCATGTGTGAGGGGGAGGAGAGAACCATATGCAGTGATTTTATGTTCCTCATCCCTGCTCTGGACATAAGACAGCAGGGGTCTCTTGACTAGAACAATTAAGTTAATATTCAAGTACATAAGAAATTAGGAATTGTGAACAACTCTTCAGAAACTCTCCAGTACTGAAGCTCTGGAAGCTCTACAGTCAAAGCAGCCAGAGGCATTTCACTGTCTTTTCCAATGGCTTCAAATTTTTCTTTTTCACAATTTACCAATAAGATCATGACTTTTAAAAATGTGGCAATAGGGGGTGCTGAAGAGATGGCTCAGTGGTTAAGAGCACTGGCTGCTCTTGCAGAGGACCTGGGTTCAGTTCCCAACACCCACATTGTGGCTAACAACTGTCCATAACTCCAGTTCCAGAGGGGATCCAATTCCCTCTTCTGACTTCTGCAGGCATCACACAACATGGGTCCACTTACATACATGCAGGCAATATACTCATACAAATAGAATAAAAATAATAACTAAAATATTTTGAAAGTGGTAATGAAGATTTTACAAGCAAATACTACAACTTCCCATTTAACACATTTTTACTAATTCAAACAATGATGATTAGGGTGATGAAGAATAAAAAGATTTAGGCTATATGAAACTCTGAAACTGTTAGAAGAAAACATTCGGAAAAACCTACAAGATATAGGTGTAGGAAAGGATTTTCTAAACCGGACATCAATTCCTCAGGAAGCAAGGGCAAGAATTAACAAATGGGACCTCATTAAACTAAAAGGCTTCTGTACATCAAAGGAGGCAACCAGGGAAGCGAACAGAAAACCCACAGAATGGGAGAAAATCTTCACCAGTGACATATCTGACAGAGGTTTAATACCTAGAATATATAAAGAACTCAAAAAACAAAGAATCGAGAAACCAAATGATCCAGTT